TTCGAGCTGTCCTACGCTAACCAGTGCACACCACGGTGGAACAACGCAATACATGCTAAGTGTTGCCGATGTGAATTACCACATACCGTTAAATGGCTCTGCACCCCAAGAAACAAGTGTTTTCATTCTGACAGCTCAAACTAAAGGAGCATTTAAACCTGTTTGGTGTGCCTTCAGCACATCAACTTCATATTTAGGCGTCAAGCTTACCACCTTTACAGCACCTTCCCACAGCTGCTGACGCATAAGTCCTCCTAAAAGTAAATCAGTAGCCTAAAGCATTGCCTCAGCTTCCCCTTGGCTGCTCCAACATTGTATTCAAGCGTCTTAAGAGGGACTACAGTGAATGCTAATAAAAAGTTCAAAGGCATTAGCGTGGCTAAAGAATGTTTGAAACTGGTTTCAAACGAGAATAATATGTTATCCAGCGATGCGTTGAACTTAGACAACGACAAATCCTGAGCTTCACCTCGTACCTACAGTGAATCAGTGGCGTGAAACTTGTTCATGGTGGTAATTATTAACGTCCATGTTCTGTCTCGAGACCACCCACCAGGTGGGAGAAGGCATTAAGTTTAACTAACTACATGTATTCCAGGGTGGACAATGGGATTAACTCTGAGCTCGACCCGAAGGCGACTTCCTTAACGCTCCCCTACGTGTGCCTTCTGTGCCAGGCGTCACAATATATTCGGTACTGCAACAAAGCACCCAATAGCCAGCCGCGCCAATCATCAGCAACCATGAGACTGAGGAACGGTACCTGCTCTCCTCAGTGCTTGAAGGCGTTACGTTCGGTCTTACAGCCGGATTTTGGGGTTATATACATCTGTTGACCATCACTTTCTTCCAGGACTGGGTGGTGGGACTTCGATTTAAAACGGTTGTGTTACAGAGAAAATGGGAGATTCGTAGTATCATTTCCGACAACTACACACGAATTCAGTGGGATGAATTCTGACACAAAACTTTGCTGGATGTTTCACGGTGGTACCGCCTCATTAGCTAACAGCTTGTGTGCGGAACACTGGAAATAGGTAAAGCCAAACGCAGATATCATTG